ATATAATTTGCTATAAACACCCGGTATTGATAAGTATTTACCACCCCTGACCAATCAGGGTGGCTTTAGATTAAAGAAAGAGTACTAATTTTGTTTGACATATTCTTATTTTCGACATATTTGCAAAGACTACATTTGCTGCTCTAGACAAATACAAATTTTGAGTAGTTATGAAACCTAATTTACAAAACCAGTGTAGTTACATATTTTTTCTTTCCAGTAAAATAAATTGATCGGACAAAAACTTGTTCGGAAACAACTAGCTAACAGTGAACTCCTAGACACCTCACCCCACGCAGAAGAAATAAAATAAATAAGCTTACTCCCACGGACAATAGACTATCTGGAAGCCTCGAGGAACGAACTTGAGCAGGTTCACTAATTTCAGTCAGTTTCCAAATTTTAGGATTTCTCCAGCTCATCAGAAACCCTAGAATGGCCAATTGGAAATCTTTTACATGGACTAAGGCCAATGTGCATAAACATAAATAAGATTCTAGACATATGATTTACCCATCATGGTGTCTCTTCCGCTTTGTCCCTCTTAGTACGCCGACCACCTATTTAATCATACAGAGACTAAATTTTATTTTATTTTGATTGAATTAGGCCGATAAACCGTCCGAAAAGAGCTAAAGCGATACCAATCCGCCCGATATCTTATCGGATGGCTAACGGATTAATACATTTAAAAGCCGATAATCGATAAGCCAAACTGTTAAGAGTAAATAACCGCTCAATCCGCCCGACAAGCATCCCTACTGAAGTCTAACAGATTTGAAACTGTTCCAGCTGCACTTCATCTAATGTACTGCTGGCCCATTTCTACTTAGAATTTTACAGCTTGTTTGGATGGTTGTTGCGTATCGTTTCATAATATATCGTATCATATTGTATCGTATTGTTTGATGAATACAATGTATGGATAGATTGTATCATTTGCCATCGTTTCATGATATCATGCACCAACAATATGAAAAATAAACTTGCAACATTATAAAGAAAAATTATGATACAACGTAAAATTATTATATAAAAAAGTAGGGTAAATAATAAAATAAAATTATTTAATAATAAGGTAGGGTGAGGTGAGAAAAAAGACGAGGTAACGACACAACTACACTAAATCGGTCGTTACATAAAATGACACATTTTGTCGTTACGTAACGACGGATTTAACGATACGATACAATAAAATTAAAGTAACAATCAAAACAAACATCATATTTAAAGTAACGATACGATACAATACAACAGGTAACAACCATCCAAACAAGTTGTTAAGTTAGTTACTATTTCTTTCTCTTTTTGGTTTTTTGTCAAGTGTTTGTTGTTCTTTTTGAGATCCCAATTAATTTAGATTTGCGTAACGTAAGGTTCATTAGAAATGAAAGTGTTTATTATCAAGACATTTTGCATTCTCATGCTCAAACACGAGACTTCTGATTAAGAATGAAAGGATCATAACCATCAAACTATATATAATCGTTGGCGATGCCTCTTCTTGTATAGAGGCAACAAACTTTGGTTTTTAAAAGTCAAAAAATGGTATGATACAAGACTAAACGAACTTTAATATCAAAGTGAATATAATTATATTTTCAATTTTTCAAAAACTATATCCGAAATCAACTTGCATACTTCTTAAAGAAATACACATGAAATCATATTTACAATTCTGAATGCAGCTCTTCCTATTGCGTTCGTAAAAACAGAACACTTCAACATACATATCACGACATGCTTCTTTCATAAATGCTAAAGATTTTCCGTAATTTAACTGACCGTTTAAATATTTTTTCTATCGTTAATAGATACTATATTACAAACTTCGATTTTTTATTTTAAGGTAATGATTAGTTTATGTTCTCCGTATCCTAATTGTCCTTGTTTGAAGCACAACAAGTATATCATCAAAGCTTATGGTCTAAGTGATACAAAATGTGTTAATTCAATTCTCATAAAAGTGTTTTTGTTCAAATAAAAGAAAAACTAGTTCTTCATTTTGGAAGAGCTTGGTAAAAGGATAATTATTTTTATTCTTCAAATTTGGCTTTTGGAGAAGGGGAAAAAGAGGACATTGCCTTATCCACTATTATTGGTCACAGCTAAAACTAGTTCCATAGAGAAAAAAAATAGCAAAAATCATATTGCCATGGCTTTCTCTTCAGCTTTTTCACACACCTCCTTCACATATTCTTCATCTTTCTCACATACAAGAAAAAGAATTAATACCCCTTTTAGACTACCTTTAATTATTAAAGCAGAAAATCCCTCTGAACCAGCAGACAATGATAAACCTGCAAACCCAAAATCCAAAGAAGCAGCTTCCTCTACTGCCACTGCAACTAAGCCTAAAAAACCTGTCTATTCCAGTCAGTATTGTTGAAATATGTGTCCATTTCTGTATTCCTTTTTTTTATAATTTTATTACGAATAATTATTTCCTATTTATTTTTGTTTTGGTTGGCAGTGAAGAAAGGTCAGATAGTCAGGGTGGATAAGGAGAAATATCTTAACAGCATCAATGTGAGTTTTTTTCCCTTGTCGACAAAGACAGATTCAGGATTTTAATTTGTTAGTGTGAGTTGGTATTTCACCAATTACATCTACACAATTTTTTTTATAGAATTGGAATTTGAATATCTGATAAGGTTTTATAAAATTTTCAGTATTTGTCTGTGGATCATCCACCTTATTACAAAGGCCTGGACTATATATACGAAGACCGTGGTGAGGTACTATTTTCTGATTTTCTACGAATATTGCAATGTTGGTAAGGGCAAATTAAAGGATTGTTAAGGGAAAGAAGAATTAACCCAAATAACTGTCCATCTAATCTCTTAAACTATAAATAGCCGGCGAATATATAATTTATGTATGATATATGTATAATCAATGCATAATCTATGTATACTGGTTAAAAAAGTAAATATTAAATCTGGCCGGCTATTTGTGTAAAAATGCATTTTGGAACTACATTTTTTTGTATTTTTAAATGCTATATTTGGTAGCCATTAAATCCATAAATTCAAATTCGCTTTGAATAGTGACAACTGACAACTAAATGGGGGAGTTACTACCAATTTTCAACCACATTCAGTTCTTACTTAGGAGTTGGAGAGGAAAAAGGAACTTTTACTTTTACTTTAGAAGGATCATGCTTTGGAGTTTGGACTTTCGCATTTAATTATTTGTTTGTTTGTCTATTTGTTTACTTATTGAAGGTCTTGCACTAATCATATCCCTTGTTAGGTATTGGATTTGCGCATATTCGAGACAGGAGAATATGCACTTGTAAGTTTATCTTTTCCAAATTCAGCTGATTATATACTTCTTTATTTAACCATAAACAAGAGGTGTATAGTTACGACAAGACTTGAAACAAGTAACCCTATAAATTAATAGTTTAAGAAAATTCATAAATTCCTGTTTAGATCAAGACTTGAACTAGTAACATTTTAACCCCTTTCTAACACTATATACAAAATAGATTTATTTTTATTAATTAAACAAATGCAGTTATAGTTCACAAACTACAAGATAAGTTCTACTCTTGCTTTTGAGTTATCCTATCGAATTAACTTTATGGTACGCCTGAGAATAAAAATCTTTTGATAGGTAGCGTCTTACCTACTTTTGTGTATCTATCCACCGGGTCCGGAGAAGGGTCACACCCCTTAGGGTGTGATGTAGACAGCCTAACCTAATGCAAAGCTAGCTGTTTTCATAGTTCGAACTCGTTACGTATAGGTCACACGGAGACAACTTTACTGTTGCTCCAAAGCTCCCCTCCCGTGTATCTATCTAACACGAATTCGAATCACCCGAGCCAAGGTGTTACAGATACGTATGATATATGCCTAACGCCACAAAACAAACTTGGTTGTCTCTTTTTGACTCCAAGCATGCATAAATCTCACAAAATATTGAAGGAACTCAAACTTGAGACCTCAAGATTTAACTTATCTGAATGACAGTAGATTACAGAAAATTGATCCTAAACTCATAAGTAAAACTCGCTATCTTGCCTATGCTGCAGATTGGATGGATTGGAATACCAACTGCACCAGCTTGGCTTCCAACAGAGATGCTAATAAAGGTAATTAGCCTTCGAATTCATTCGAAATGCTAAAGCTATTTGCATCATTTCATGCTCCTGTTGAACCTTATGCTGTTAACTAACCACACATTCTCAAACCAAATCCATATTTTGCAGTCTGATAAGCTGGATTACGAGAGAATATAGTAGAGGGGCCATATTTCGAACCAGTCAGTACATGTCAGACAAGATTATATCAAAGTGGCTCACCAGATTTTGCTCAATGCTAATTGAAGATGAAGAGAAATGGGATGGACACACCTCCCTAACTTACTTCACTTCTTTTAAAAGTTGTATCTCATCTAGTTATTAGAAACATCAAATGAGAGGGAAAAAAAAGAGCTGATATCTAATAGCTCATGTTCCTGAATATGTTACTGAACCTTTTCTCTTTCAGTGAGCAAGAGTCAAAGGAAACCAGACAAACAGGCTTGCTTGAGAAACCATCAAAAAACAGTTTTCTTGGGGTCTTTAGTTTCAGTAGATAATATAATGCTTTTGCATCTTATTTCTATCTTCAGATTCAAATTGCAACGCGTGATACTCCAGCATTTCACTCGACATATTTAAGGATGAAGTTAACTAAAAATGTCCACCTAACAAATATTGGTACTGCATGATTTCAAATTTTTTATACTCATTTGTATTCCATGGTTCTTTAGTTATTGCGAAGTATATAATTTTACTCTTAAAAGATCAAGCCAATCATCTTCTGATATTGACACTATAAAAAAATCAAATTGACTCTTAATAAGCTTAACAGAACTATTCAATAGGTAACTGATTCAAAACAAAAATAAAAAAAAATAAAAAAAAGGACTATTCAGTGGGGTAGAATGCAAGAGAAATTCCAGTAATAACTAAGAGATGCTTCAGATCAAATAAAATAAGAGATCAGTAAACAAAAAATATATTTCAGATTGAATACAATGGAGTCAGCCACAAGAATATTGCAATGCCTGTTTCAGTGTACCATAAAATGTTGCATATAAAATTATAGCGTACAACAATATACAGTAGGCAGGTAATAAGGTACTGTGTGCAGCAGCCTGTATAAAGGGAAGGTAAAGAGTAGGTGTGGAATATATGCTATACAGATTGTATCTTTTTCTGTAAACAATGATGTACTTGGTATCAATGTCTGAAAGTTAATGAGGGTGGAAAATGAAACGGAGAAACTAATAAAGAGAGGGTGCCAGGAAAAAGCAGAACTTACAGCCTTCTCTTAGCACGCTTGGTGTCATTCATAAGCTCCGTCAATGAAGGAAGAGGTCGAGGCACTCTCACATTCATAGACCGGTATATTTTTCTCAAACTTGGATTATAACTCTTTGACAATCCAACAGCTGACTCAGAAATATGTCTACAATACTCTGTTTCTGTATGCATCAAGATCTCTTTACTCCTAATGTCTAAACCTTCACTTATTGCCAAGGTCTTACCTTCTTCCACTTCAACTTCTTCCTTAAATGAAATAACCTCAAACTCGTCAGAACCTCTCAATACAGAATGATTATCTGGAAGTATAGGCTCCTTCTCTTCATGTTTGAAATAAGAACTGTCGAGCCCAAGCCTCGCCCTACCAAATAATGTTACTGGGGCTGGTTTGCTTGGAGGAGAAAGGTGTGACTGCCTATAAATGCTAAAAGATGTCGTCGTCGACTGGGAGTTGTCTGCATAATCTTGAGCATTGCTCTCGGCCAAAGGTGAGCTTGAAACCTCAACCACATCTGGAGCTGTTGCTGCATCAACTACAGATTCCACGTCCATAGTAAACCCCAAAAGTTGCCAGAAAGGGTCACCAAAATTCCGATGTTGATTAATGCAACGCTTCACATAATCCAGCTCCATAGCCTTGCAACTAGCTGTTGTAGAGACGACCCACCTAGGTGCAAGAAGTTGCAAAGCCCACTCCAGTTCTTCCTTCGATGAGTGTATGGAGTAACAAATATGCCAGACACCGAATATATCTCTCACTGGTTGGTCACATCTTTCTTTTTTCCGCCCCTCAATATCCGAAATACCATCATCGCATGCATACCACTGTGCTGATGGTCGAATAATTAGCGGCTCATGCTGACAAGCAGACCGAGCCTCTGAGATCTTGGCTTCTGCTCTTTGGTACAGTTTCGGAAACCCATCAAACAGTTGAAAACGAGAAGATGAATCTTCAGACAAGATTTCAGGCACCATTAGTTCCAAAGCCTGAAAGCATTCTGGAGTTTTAACTTTATCAACATATATCTTGCAACCAAATGCCTGTGAAACATGCACAAGAATCTCCTCGTGGCCAAGAAGATCACACGTCAGATATACTGTAGGAGCCTGAGGGTGCTTCCATATGCAATTGATGACCTGTTTGTTGGAAAAACAAATTTGTGATGTTAACAATATTTATCTATCAAACAAGTGAAAAGAAAAAAGAATGGTCAAATGCCACATAGAATATGGGTGAAAGACTGTAGACTAAAGACGAATGATACCATTTAGGGGGTAAGCCATTGTTGTATTGGATAAACATGATAATAAAGGAAGAGACTTAAGTACGAACTAGTAGATGCAAAGGCGAGTCTCTGCTCTGGCAATTGATTTGAACCCAGAGGAATTTTGATTAACCAGACATTCTGCATCTCCAGCGTTAATGTACAATTTTCCCTTTTCAATTCGTTCTAAAATAGTGTCCATTTCAAGGCTTGAGCAATTAGCTGTTACTACAATACAGAAAAGCAACCAGCAGTGCCACTAGTTCCCTTATTTAACTTAATAAGATTTTTAGAAAGGGACACGTCCTTTCTCATCTCAATACTCTTTCCAGGCAAGCATGAACATTCAACATTGGGATGGCAGAGTACCAATAATTTGAAAAATCTTAATTGCAAAACAAACAGTGGACTAAGACAACCAAACAAAATTCTGATCACCCTAACCAAGAACAGTGATTGATGTCCCTAGCAAAGGAAAGTCACTGTTGAGAGCTAGTCCAAGTTGTGGGTTTAGGGATTTTGTAAGCCTTTAATTTATAAGGGAAAAAAATCACTGTGAAGACTTATAACAGTGCACTAAGTTTCTTCACCAATTGTAAGCCATACATAAAATGAGAGTGTGGACTAACTTATTAGAAAAGGAGAATGTAAATTATTTGCCCTTGATACTTGAGAAGCATAAGCTCGCAACTTCTAATGTTTTCTCACCACTCGCCCATGTGATTCACCAACAAGGAAGCAACCTTCACAGCTTATGCAGGTAGACATTTCTAACTATGTCAGACTCCCGGAGGACTCAGTATGGAATAGTATATTTTTCTTCAATACAAACAAAAGGGTGCGGTATATAAGAAACCTGAACTTCCTCACTCTCATTTTGGGTATCTAGCTGTTTTTGTGCTTGCTTTAAAGGGATAAGCTCAGGTTCACACCACTTGTCTGCCCTATGAGCTTCAGTGCAGTTTGCTACTGAATTGTAAGATTTAGCGGTAATTCATGCACTAACTAGATCCAATGACAGGAATTGATCTATATAGGGTGAATTGAATCAAATCATAGGACACAAAACTCAAATCAAGAAGCATCTGAAAACCAATTGCCCATCAGGAAAGAATACAAGCTTTTTTCTACTATTAGGTGAAACCAAATTCTAAAGAGGTTCTCCCAAACAAAGATGAAATAGAAACAGTAGGTTTAGTCTCTCTCTTTATTTTTTTGGCGGTGGTGTCTGGGCTAGCTTGCACCCGCCTCGACTATTCCACCGAGTACCTCCTATCTCTTACCAGCATTGATACCGAGTAACTCTGTCCACCAAGGCTTAGGCAAATACGAAGTTGCTTGGACTCAGGTGTGGTGTCCGATATGGATGCGGATCTAGAGGTTGGACTTCATGATCCAAAGTTTAAGATTTGGGGGTCCGGATATAGGTGCGGGGATATAGGTGAAGAGTCCGAGCAACTTAAGGCATATGTGAAGAGATCACCTAGTGGCTTTTGCCTCCGCTGGGATTTGAACCCGAGACCTCATAGTTCTCCTTTCACTTCATTGACCACTAGGCCAATACCCTTCACTGCTAGGTTTCGTCTATTAACAATTAGTTAAGTATTGAAGAAAAATTCATGTCATGCTTATGGATCTTGAAATCTTGAATAACTTACTGCACTTTACAAAAGCATTAAAGCACTACAGCTAGAACGCTATTTAATCCACCATAATCCATTTAAAAAGAACGAGTGTTAAAACCTGTTGGATTGCTGACTGCCTGCTGGACATCTTCAATGGAGACTGACCAAATGTGCAATCAAGTATAATACAATCAATTCGGCACTTCGGTTCTTTTCCTGGGGTGCCCACATACTTTAGGGGTAATTGTTGCAAACATTCAATCGTGAGTCTGCAATCTCCTGTATGCAGGATGTTTCCAAATTTTCCTTCATACAAGAACATCAGAGCCCCTGCAAGTTGTTAACATCATGCCAAATATTTATCATTGTAACCCTGTTACAACAGAGGTACCGTAGAAGAACAGGAATGCAAGATGAGAAACTAAACCATCAAATTGAGGCTTTGAGGCATGTCCAAGATACAATCTTTAAGGCATTATTTTACTCCACTCACCCAGAGTTTGCACATTGACTATAAGACCACTTACAGATGCAACATAGCCTCAAAAATATTAAATAAGACTAGAAATTAAAAAAAAAAAGAGCAGCAGATTGCAGTTTACTAGTAGAGACTTTAGTAAACCTGGAGTCATAAATCAGTCTCGTGTCTTGGTATTGCCAAAGATTAGCAAAAGGTTACATTTTTTCAAGAAAATTCACAAAATTATTGATGCTCTTTCTTAGAAAGTTACATCAAGTTAATTACCATCCACAAACATGAGACTTTTGCAAATTCGAGAATTTTTCTCCCATCAGCATCACCTTTAGGCGCCAAAAAGGGCTAGACAGACAAAAACATCAAAAATCCCCGTAGAGTGGATTAGAAAAAGAATGAAATTCCCACATAATAATACATAAGCATGAGTCACCTAGCTAATAGATAGGACTGTTGCATAAGAGCAGCAGCTCATCCCAGGATGAGCTCCTAGTACTGACCTAACTAAAGTAAAAGAATCCGCCTAGGACCAAGAAAGGAGACCACACCAAGTATTGCCCACGTCGTAAGACTGAAATGAGGTGGTCACCTTGACACAACTTCTGCAACTTGGTAACTCAACAATTCCGTCAGTTGTCACTACACTAGTCAGAGACATGTCAGATAAGTGTGCGAGCTGAGAGCACAAAGATAAATGCATGGATAAACAAATGGACTCACAGTGGAGGGTGCCATCATTACATTTGAACAATAAAGTAACAAGTCACATTTCTTTTTTTATTTACCAAAAAAGGTCAACCTAAGTGCAGATACAGTTACCTTTAATCATCTTGGAGTATGAACCACATAAATCTGGCTCAGGATGCCAGGACTACTTCTGACGGCCTTAAAGACTTACTGAAACCAATGGGAAAGCAGACAACTACATGGTGTTAAAGGAACACATTTTTGTTTCTGTAACAACCCAGACTTTAGACAGAGTCCCACATCGGCAAAACACAAGAGAGATGCTGGGTATATAAGTTAACAAGCCTTAGACCCCAGTGACGCGTTTTGAACCCGTGAGGGCCTAGGCCTAGAGCGGACAATATCACTAGCGGGTTGGGCTGTTAGAGACGGTACCAGAGCCACTCTTGTGTCAGTCTTGCCGATGGTGGGTCAGAGTTCAACTAAGTTTAGGCAAATCCCGGTTAGGCGGGGCAAACCTCAGCGAGGACGCTGAGTCCATAATAGGGGGTGTATGTAACAACCCAGACTTTAGACAGAGTCCCACATCGACAAAACACAAGAGAGATGCTGGGTATATAAGTTAACAAGCCTTAGACCCTAGTGACGCGTTTTAAACCCGTGAGAGCCTAGGCCTAGAGCGGACAATATCACTAGCGGGCTGAGCTGTTAGAGATTGTAATGTTGGGAAGCGTGTCAAGCTAATAGAAGAAAAAGAATATTTAAGAGAGAAAAGCAATAAATTGCACAAACAAGACAAAACAAGATTTACGTGGTTCGGCAATTTTTGCCTACTCCATGGCCACACAAAGAATAGCTATTTATTAATTGAAGAGAGAAAGAAGAAGTTTTGGGATGATCTACAAATGAAAATATAGACCCCTATTTATAGGCATTTGAATGCCCTGCCGAGGTAAGCGCTTACATCATAACAATGCTGATGTAAGCGCTTACATCATAAGAATGCCGAGGTAAGCGCTTACATCACAAGAATGTTGATGTAAGCGCTTACATCATATTTTCATCTCTTTTTGATTTTTCTTTCTTTTGTTTTGTCTACTTTCACATACAACAATAGGTTTGGTCCTATCAATCTCCCCCTCAAACCTATGTTACATCAAGAAAGAAAATAAAAAAAAGATTTGCTATTCTCTGGTGGCGCCTTCACGCTATCAGTCTTGAAGGCTAACTGAGGCAGTGCACAGCCTCAGTTTGTCAACACCGACAACTTTGGTCAACATGTCTGACGGGTTCTTTGATCCTGATATCTTCTACAGGGAAAGAGTTCATTCATTTATCAACTCTCGGATATGATGATACCTCAACTGGATATGCTTCGATCTTGCATGAAACACTGGATTCTTGGCAAGATGAATTGCACTCTGGCTATCGCTGAAAAGCTCACAATTGTCCTGCTCTTTACCTTCTTTAAGAAAATTCTTGAGCCAAATCATCTCTTTTCCAGCTTCTGAGATTGCCATGTACTCTGCTTCAGTGGTAGATAGAGCAACACTTTTCTGAAGTCTGGACATTCAACTAACAGCAGTATCACCCAAGGTGAACACGTAGCCCGTGATACTTTTTCGACTATCCAGATCGCCGCCTAAATTTGCATCAGCAAAACCTTGTAAGATAATAT